TACATTTGCTATTTGTAGTTAATTTACAAGCAGTCCTCATTTGGAAACTGCCTTCTTTCACAACTGCAGTTATGTCTTATGAAAAAGTAACTTTATGATCAATCCTCTCATTTATGAGGATTGCAAGTCTGTAAAGCAAACGAAAGCTGATATAATAAGCACAACTGTACTTTTGCTTAGTGACCACTTTGTTTAACCACCATGTTGCTGATCCTACTTGTGGTCACTAAATTAGGACTGCCTATATGTCATTGGTAAATGAGGATTAGCAGCCCCACATTGTCTGGGACCAAGCTATCTGAAGGACTGCCTTTTCCAGTCATATCTACCTGACCCATCAAAGGAGGGAGGTAAGGAATGCTACAAGTCTCTTCTCTTAAGGCGGCCCATCTAGTGGACCCAAGAACAACGGCTCTTCTCCATGGTAGATCCCTCCCTGTGGAACATCATCCCTGCAAACATAAAATTGCGTCCCACTTTGACAATATTTCACAAGGCCCTGAAGTTATGGTTCTGCCAACAGCCTGGGGACTCAGAATAACATGGAGTCCTAAAGTGGTTGATCTGATTGTTATTGCCAGGGGGATAAGGGTTTATTGGTTTTTTTGTAATGGGGTTTTATCTTGTAAGCTGTCATGAGCCACCATGAGTGAGTTGGGCGGTCATAAACATTTTCCTAATAAACAATAAATTTTATGCCACCCAGAGTCACTTCTTCTAGTGTGAATTTAACAAATAAATATATTTTATGTTAAAGTAATGTTTTTCATAAAGTTAAGACTATGGTGTCTCTACATTCAGCAAAGTACCTTTGTCTCACCATCATCTTCTTTCTTTTTATTGTTTAGCACCTGAGGAGTTTCAGATTTTGGCAAAGGAGAACGAAATTTAGGCCTAGTTTTCTGTTGCTCTTCACCAAATTGCTGACTGAATCCTTCAGGCAATGCATCTTTAAAAAGCCAAAACAGAATTTCAAATATTGAATTTTACATGTTATGTAAATTTTTACTAGTTCTACATAGTTGATAATTATCTGTAATTGTAAATTAGAATTATATCTTTAAAATTTTCATTTTGTTCTATAATTAATTCTATTCTTACTATAATTTCAAAACTAAAGATGGAATCTGGGGGTTTATTTCTGGCAGCATAATAAAAATAAAAGGCAAGAAAATCTGTTCTTTCCTTAATATTCTCCCCTCCCCTCACACACACAATCCTCAAAAGCTACTTCAGATAAACTCCCAACCTTCTAGATAACACAAGAACATTTGTGGGGAGTTGCAGTAAGAAAGTGAGGCAAAAGCTTCATTGTGGTAACAAAAAGTTTATAACGCAATGCTGAATTCCATAATACCATAGTTCTCATTGCAAGGACCTATACTTATATTGAAAAAAGCAAGAGCTCTTGAGTTTTTCCAAAGTCTTTTTTTCTACAACCAGAAATGAAAATTGATAGAATTGTTTCTATGTTTCTCCTTTTTAATGATACATTAAACCATAATTAGATGGGTTTTTAGTTTAAAGTTTTTAAGTTTTCTTAGCCATAGTTAAGAAAAATGTTACACAACTTCTCACTTTAGAATGACTTCAAAAATATGTAATAGAAATGTTTTTATGTAAAAATATTTATGTATGAGATTATTACACCAACACAAAGGGCATTATGACTCTCACATATAAGCCAAGAATGTTTCTTTCTCACATAAGGACAGGCTCACCTTTCTCTGCTCATGGGCTTACTTTCAGACTTTTGATTTAGCTAAAGAACCTGTTCATGCCCACCTTTAGGCCACATAACATTGAGTATTATATAGCTATTGGTAGCAGCAACCATTAATCTATTATCTAAAACTGATATAGTTAATTTTTAAAAATAGAACAAATATTATATCTCTGCTTCTAATATAATTATAGGATTTGCATTTCCCTTCTGGACTGTCCCTTGTTAGTTCATCTCATTATGACAAAAAAAATTCTACAACTACCCTTATATTTTTCCAATTACTAAAGAAAAAAATATCACTTAACTAGTTTAAACTCGTTTGTTTTCCTTCTAATATGCAGAACATTTAAGTGACTAAGAAGCATTTCTAAAACTTGGAAGTAGCTTGGTATTTCCTTCTTCTGAAACACATTTTTTCAACTTTTCGGTCTCACTTGAATCCTGAGACTGAATGGTTGACTCCGAACCAAATACTAACTAGATCTTATCTTGTTTAGCTTTTCCAAATCCACCAAATTTCGATAGACATCTGCCTTGATATGGTTAAATTAAGGTTAATTTTTAATTTCTAGAACAGCCAATAGATAAAAACCTGAAATGGTCAATGTAAATTAATAAATACAGATAATTTGAAGCCTTCCTTAGAGAATACTTTGTTTACATTGGATTTCTCAAAATTCATAAAGCTGCCATCCTCATTACCATCAGATAAATTTAAACATAGCCAGTCAAGTGCAGAATGTAGGTCACCACCATACAAGATAGTATTATTCATAGCTTCTTCAATATCTTCAGTCTTGAAAGAAAATCCTTGCAAAGCCATGTATACGTCCTATAAAACAACAATGCATTATAGAATATCACTTAGGAAATCTGTAACTATTTTTCTATATACCTGTATTTTTCGGAGTATAACCAAGGTTTTGAAGAGGCAAATTTTTTAAAAAGTGGGTAGGTAGATAGAGATAAATTGAGGTAACCCCAGATATACGTTACAAGTATAAAAGCAAGGAACCATTGATGGTCAAAGGAATCAGATTTAAGGGTTTAGGTTTTCTTTCACTCTTTCTTTCTTTGAAAGAGTAAGCCTAATGGGAATGTTTAATTTTCAGGCATCCTAGGTGAGTAGCTATGGCAAAAAGTATATCTATACAACTGTCACTATTGCACACTTTATACAAGTTTACCTTAAAAAGAATCCAGAAAGTTAAATCAATACTAAAGTTTGTTAACCAGTGCATAATAATGGAATCACATTAATAATAACAATACACTGGATTTATATGTTGCCCAATTCCCAGTGAGTCTCTGCAGTTTACAATTGTTAAAAACAATGATTAGTACAAAACAATAAGTTCAGATCTGGATGATACAAATACTCACGCTAACTCATTTAGAAATAGTTTCTCCCCAAAACATGCATAATCTCCAAGCATTGGGAGAGATCACTTGGCTGTTCCAGAGTCAATGATATAATGAAGTATCATCAGTGTTATGGCCACACAGAAAGAAGTTCACTAGTTGTCAATTGTTTTCTAAGTACTAGTGCTAGTGTCAATCTTTAAAGCTCTAGCTAGGCTGTTTCATGACACAAACTTTACAGGCACTAAGATCTGCAAGAGAAGCTATTTTGCAGAAGTCCCTTGTTTCATTTGTTCATTACCTAGACATGAGGTGAAGACCTTCTCTTGTAACACTCTCAGGTTACAGAATTCATTGTCTCAGAGTTGAAGTTGGATCCATTCCTTTCAGCCTTTAGAGAAGTCATCAAGATACATCTCTTCAACAAGCCCCTAGCTATCTCACTACTTGAAGTGCCTTGATTTTTAACCTCCATGGGTTAGAATTTATTTATTTACTTATTTGACTTATCTGCTGCCCTTCTCGCTTTGAGGTGACTTTCACAGGTTTTTTTCTAAATATTTGCTACCCAATTTGAATAGAACAACTAAATAGAAAACAATACAAGACTAAGTAAAATTAATCACAAATAAGTGAAACCAGTATAGAACACAATCCATGGAAAAGTAGGAAAGTGGATTATAATAATCCAAGAACCTGAAATATATTACAGTATATCATGAATACTGAAAGTAAACATACACAACTCATCTTTGCCTTTATTATGTCAGTTTAATATATCAAATAGGAACAATGGACCACAAATCATTAATATACTGTAATATAGAAACCTTTATCTTCTCTAGAGGATGTATATAATTTACCTCATTAAAAAGATATGTTAAATATTAATGAACTAAAAGAGTCTCAAAGTTTACCTGTAATTTTTTAGCAGTTAGTCTTCTAGAAATCATTCCTTTTTCACCAGTTTGTTTTTTATGTTCATTGATTATGGCAATAATTCTTTTTTCCAAATTACTATTAATTATGACCTGAAATGAAAAAAAAAATCTTGGTTACAAGTTTTAAATATGGTTGAACAAAGCACATTCACAGCTTAAGATTCAGCTCAAAGGTATGCGCTTGAATACTTTTTCTATATATTTATGGAAAAAGTTACTGAATTGTGTATCTGGGTGTGTATGTGACTGTCTATATATTATTTACTGTATTTTTCTGGAGTATAAGACGCAACGGAGTATAAGACGCGCCAAGGTTTTGAAGAGGCAATTTTTTAAAAAAGTAGGTAGGTAGGTAGGGAGAGAGAGAGAGTAGTTAGGTAGGTAGATAAATAAAGGGATAGAGAGAGAGGAAGAGAGAGAGAGAGAGAGAGAGAGAGAGAGAGA